CTCCACCGCCACGGTAGGCCTACCCCTCCCTCTCTTGTCCCTCTCCCTCCCTTGCCCTGCAACTCCCTATTTCCTCCCCCCCCCCCCCCTTTTCTTTGCTTGCATTGGCCGCAACCAGGTCGACTAGAAACAAGAAGGGATGGGAGAAAGGGAAGGAAATAGGGAGGAGAAAGAGAAAGTAAGGAGGGAGGAAGAGGGACGAGAGAGGAAGGGGGAGGAGAAGAGAGGAGAGAGGGACGAGGAGAATAAGGGAGGGAGGGAGAAGAAGGGGGAGGATGGTGATCAGGGATGGTTGCGGGTGGGTGGCTGGTGGTGGTTCATTTTAATTTTTTAAATATATTAAAGTGTTTGTTATTTTTAAATAAAAATATAATTAAATCGAATCAAATTCGAGTAGTGCTATATTTAAACCCGAACTTGACATACGTTAGTATTTCTGAATTTCGATCAAGCATGAACACGGAGGCTCGAGATCGACTCGCTTAACTTTGTGACGGTACGAATTTGACTCGTTCGAACTCATCACTTCTCAACAACCAAGCAATCAACCAGACACTCATCTCAAAAAAAAAAAAAAACACACACACACACACACACCACTTAAACCAAATCATAGTACCAATAACAAAAAATTCCATTTGATAAATTACAATAGGATTAATCAATCTCACAAACCCATAAAAGATTTTAGTTATAAACAAAGTTCGGTTAAAACAACTAAAAGAAGGAAAATTAAGAGTGATAAGAAGCTAAGCAAAGGAAGGGGAAAGAAAAGCAGATCAGGAAAGGGGAGGGCAATCGATCAAGCATGGAGAAATTATAAGAAGACCTATGGCTGGTTTTGATTTAGGGATAGGAAAAATAAAGAAAAGAGCTATGGGTGGGCCAGGAGGTGGGAATGACTGCAGATGGAAAGAATGGAGAATTTCATTGCAAGTTGTAGGCGGTTGTTTCTTTGAGGAAGAGAACGGCAGAGATTAGTGTTTTTATTTTTTTATGTCCCTGAATTTACTTCTTAGCCCCTTAGTAATAATATACTAGCAAAGAAGATTTCACCTAGTTGCCTACCCGTATTTGTAATTTCACTACATATTATTAAAAATAATTAATTCTTTTTTCTAAGACTGCTCAATAAAGCTCGTCGAACGCTCGATCGTGCAATCTATTTTAGAGTTCAAAATTCATTCGAATGCCCTATTAAACAGCTCAAGCTTAAAATTAAATTCGATCAACTAAAAGTTTGAATCAAATTTTTGATTGAATTTCTTGCAAATGCCTCATGAACAACATGATTCATTTAAACCCCTATTTTTAAGATTTATTATTTTAGATTTCACAAACAAAAACAGTAACAACTAATCTTAGAAAGTCACACAATCTCTTGCAACCATTTATCTTTGATCACCACGAAATTTCATCTCAACCATGCACATCATTTTCATTTTTTTTTTCGTCAAAACATCATTTCCATTAGCATGACTCTTAAATCTGCGCTAAAGAAACATACTCCACATCTTTTTTGAGATACAAGTGGTCACGTTCTATACTACGTTGTATATATATATTGGTGAGAGGAGGCCACATGCACCTTATTTCGTTGGGATGAATTTGTCGAATGGCCCCTTTCGCCCTGTGACAGGATGCGATTGAATGTTAGATTTATGTATCATGAGCATCATTGAACCTTTTTGACAAATCAATTATTAAAAGAATTATAAAACTAACCACTCTTGAATCTTGTTTGCAAATAATTACACCAAACCTAGCATAACTAACAAAATTTTAAAAATAAAAAAGATTCCACTATACAAGCATTGAGTTTCGGCCTTTGGAGGATAGGGATGTGTTAGGTGATTCAAAAAACAGAGTATAAATAAGAGATTTTGAATTTGAATCATTCTATTTGCACTTGAAAAAAAAAATTTGAGTTCTTACTTTGAGGGTAAAATATAGGCCTGTCAACGGGTCAGGTCTGGGCCAGAATTCATTATTCCGGGCTCAGACCTGGCATACTATATCGGATCCGGATTCGACCCGTTTACCCGACGGGTCTTCTACTCTATGTTCCGGATTCGGATTCGGATCCGACAGGTCTCAGATTCGGGTCGGGTCTACAAGAAAAAAATCTATCAATACTTACAATTTCTAACAAAAATGAGAAAAAATTATATTTGTAAACTAATTTCTAACTAATACAAAAAAAAATCAAATTGACCTTACTCAAATACATCACCCTAATCAAATTATATTGATAAATATATATTTTAAATTATTAATTCATTTATATCCGGATCTGGGTTGGAATACTATATTCCGCATCTGACTCATTTTTTTGTTTGACAAAACGGATCCGGTCCAGATCTGGGTAACAGAATTAAATCCCTATCCGTATCTGAAATAATTTGATAGATCCGATCCGAGTTCTGATCTAGACCCGGACCGTTGACAGACCTAGTAAAACATACCATGTAAAACAAAACTAACCAATCTTTTTCCTTGATCACTTGTCCCATTGCTTCGTTGTCAAAGAGGTGGGCGTAATACCTAACTCATTAACCTATTGAATGAGACAGACTGAAGAAGTCCTTCCCTGTGTAGCTAAGTGAAAACTGCACATAGAAATTATTTGACAATTGCCAGTCTTTTGTAAGTTAAAGTGGCATACATTTCTGTAACTATTTTTACCTATACATACAGAGCTGACTATTGACCCCCCAAAAAGAAAATAAAAAATCCTCTTGTGGGTCTCATTGTTCGTACATGATGCACGTTTGCCTTAAAAATGAGAGGTGGTGGGTGCAATGTCAATTGTATCCCTTGGTCAATGTCCATTAAATACTGCACTACAGAAAAATGTTGAGAAAGATTAAACAAAATACAAAATAAATAAGGCTCGTTTAGCTTGTGGATTTTCACTCTTAACTTTGGCGTTTTGAAAAATAATTCCAATAAAAAGCAGAAGATTTTTTTTTTTTTTTTTTACTTCTACGGTGTAATAGACCAGACATTTATAGTTTACCGGCGAAATGAATGGCCGTCATTTTCAAGTGCCGCCCCTTTTGGAGTTGCATAAGATACACATGCTGATTATTAGTCGTATATTCGAAGCCTATACAATATCGACAGCCTAACGAGGCCAAGATATATTGAATCATTCAACGACAGTCTTCAAAAGTTGCCCTGTCTGTCAATTTTTTCTAATAGAATAAAATTAATTTACAAAGTGAGTAATTGACTCTAGCATTTGCTGCTAAGTTTTGGTTTTCTGGAACGACAAGGAATGAATGATATACAGAAATATTTTTTTGAGTGGCTCAACGCTCGTTTAGATTGTTATTTTTTAAAGTTTTATTGAAAAATATACTGCAGATATATATGAGATAAAGGATGATTAAAAAATGTATTTATCAAAAATTTAAAATTTTTTTGAAGAAAAACTGCAATCCAAAGAAGGTCTAAATTACTGTGTACAAGTTAGAAGTTATAATTAGTAATAAAATGGTGTCGTTTTTTGTAAAAATTTTTAGCATTGATTTCGAACATGATAATTAACAAAATAGCAAATCAAGTTAATTAAGAATTGCTCTCATCCTAATTGTACTTTCGAATGATAAATCCTATAATTTATTCTTTTCTCTTCTGCTACCAGATAATTCATAATATACAAGTTACTTGTGAACTGCATAAAATTTTTGGAATCACGATCCAAAGTTGTTGTCGAATACTTTGGATAATTGATATCAGTTGATTTATTTTTTTGGACCAGTTTCCAAGTAGGACAACCGAACGTGGATCAGATTAAGTAAGCTGGCCCTATGTACACAGCCCAAGAAAGCAGCCTTTTTTTTTCTTTTTTCCTCTTTTCTCATCTATAGGATGAGCATGTCCTTTTAAGCAATTTCATTTCCCTATAGTTCTCTCTTGTATGGTATAGAAGAGTATCCTTGACCAGTAATAAAAAAAAAAAAATTTTTACTTTATTAATACATGGAACTTTAAAGTAAAAACTCAAATGAGATAAAAATTACAAGATATTTTTTTTTTTCAAGTAAAAATCATGAACGGATCGTAGTACAAAATATATAACCAAAAAAAAAGAAGAAGAAATTATTAGACAAAAAAGGACCGTTGACAATTATCAACAACAGTTGCTTTGAGTCAATTGATTATTTAAGATTCGACCACAATATCATGCTTTATTTTTTTTCAACAGCCTGAATCAGACTTTTGTTGTTTTATAAACCTAATCCCAGAATATATTTGGTATGACTAAATTGTATCCTCGTATTCTTTGGTCCTTATCCTCAAAGTCATGTTGGCCAAGGAATGGCCTCTCTATGATTCCAATTTTGCCGGAGGTCCCTGAAGTGACTTCACCAAGGAAATCACTTCTCGAAGCCTTGAATGAAACCCAATCTTGATGCATCTCCTCCAGCAACCTGCCCCACGAGTTGAAAAGTTGCTATTGACTTGACTTTCCGAATTTTCATTGTAGGCTGATATTTAAAGTAGCCATTTGACTTGTCATTGGCTCATTAATTCAGTTATGATTAGTATCCAGCTTTAAAATCCAGTCCAAATTCCAACCCCAAAATATATGGCCTGTCATCAAAAGGTAACAGATATTTAAAGCGGCTGATATGGTGGTGGAAGAACAAAAAAACACAACATAAACAAATTGCTCAGAAGTATAGTTTGCTTCTGAAGTATTTTTCTCCGTTCACGTTCTTGCTCGTCGTCCTGATTTCAGACGGGACGGCGGGTGAAGAACTTCCGTTCTAACAACTAATTGTCTCTTTTTAGGCACCATAATAGCTTGCATGCAACGGCCTTGTTCTCGGTTTATTATGTTAATTGATTAGCTTTTGCATTCTGATTTGCATTCTGATTGTAGATTTTTTACTGATAAAAAAAGTTAAAATCTGTTTTGCTGATTCTGATTATTCTCAATAATCAGTTTCTTATCATATTTTGCAAAAATCCCGAGAACAAGGCCAATAATGTCTCCACTTCCGTTCCAGCTCCTGGAACTGAATGTAATATCGGCTCAGGATCTGGCACCTGTGTCCCAAAATTTACGTACATATGCAGTCGCATGGATGAATCCTGAGAGAAAACTGCGTACAAGAGTAGATCAACAAGGCAAAATCAATCCCACCTGGAACGATAAATTTGTGTTTCGTGTGGATGAAAAGTTTCTAGATTCAGAAACCTCATCGGTCATGATCGAAGTTTATGCTATAGGGTGGCTACGTGACACCCCTGTTGGATCAGTAAGAGTGCTGGTCAGCAACCTCATTCCTCAGAATGTCCGAAAGACGAATAATTCGCAAAGGCGTTTTGTTGCTCTTCAGATTCGACGTCCATCAGGTCGTCCACAAGGGATTTTGAACATGGGCGTCACGCTTCTGGATAACAACATGAAAAGCATGCCTTTGTATTCAGAGCTCAGTGCATCTGCTGTGGGGTTTCAGGACCTGATGGGCGTAAAAAAGTACAAACAACGGAAGAATGAGAAGAATGGTAATGATAATTCCGATCAGAAAGAAGAAAAGATAAAGCTGAGGCGAACGCAAAGTGATTGCACAGAGGTTAAAGAAAAGGGAAACAAATGGAAGGGGAACGGAGAAGGCTCAGTATACAACAGTTCCGTAGTCGATGGCCCTACAAGAGGTGGTTCCTCATTGAATGGACCAAATTTGAATGGTTCTGAAATTGGGGTTGCCAAAAATGGATCAATGTGCAATTCTGACGTGGGGCCATCGCCTTCTGTGGTGGCTGCAGCTGTAGCCAGGGGATTGTATCCGACGCCATTGCCGAAGCCTCATGATCCAGGGAGTTCTATCCTAGGAGATTGGACAGCGGATGATGCAAGTGCTGAAGGGCTAAAATCGAAGATTGATCGATGGAAAATGGAGCTTCCTGGGAAATGTGACAAGACTCCTAATAGTTACCAGAAAATTCCGAAGGAAAAGGAACGAAGACAACATTGGAGAAGGCGGAAAAGTGCTAATGAAGGCAGCGGAAGGTTTTCGTGCTTTGGAGCTGCATGTGGATGTGAGTTTACTATTGTATGTGGAGCTAATAATGGTGGTAGGAGGAGTAGATCCCGGTTGAGGAGTAGCAGTAAGCATTTGGCCAATTCAGAGTTAGATTCTCAGTTAGTTTCACAACATGGGATCCAGTGAATTCGACCAATTTACTTTTTAACCGGATGGATGGGGGAATTATCTCCAATGGTTCATGGTGAAGATGTTCCCACATTAGAGCCTCCACAGTCGTCATGAGGTTGTAATCATCTCAAACAATTGATTTTGAAGATGTAGCCTCCAATGCTATCAATCTGATTCATTGTTATATGTATTTATATATGAAGAAATGCAAATACTGTAGATGTTTGATTCGGCGGACCATCAGGCGCAGGAGGTGGTCCGCATGAGTCCCCAAGAGCAAAGATGAGGAGTTGATGGATGGCTCCCACTTATGCTCATTACTCCCGGGAGTTGCTACTCTCCTTACAAGAAAATGATGATGTAGGTGTGTACTATGACTTGAAATGATTGTCTGGTCGTCATGTACTACAATATTAGGTTTTTGTTAGTTCCTGCTGTGATGAAACTAAATTGTATGTAGCAAAGTTTGTGTATCCAATTCATGTTTGGATTTGATACCTAAGTATTGAAATACACAAATCTTCTTGATTTCCTTGCAGCAGTAAGCTTAAAAGAAGTCTCTTATATTGCATTTTTCTTCCTTGAAGAAGAAAAATCTGCGTTTGAAAATTTTCTTCTTCCTATTTTGGTAAAGAATAAAAGAGAAACTTGGCATCTGTTTATTCTTTTGTAGAAAAAGTAAGGACGTGCCAACAATTGTCAGGAAATTATTCCAACATGCACGGATAATTGCTACGCCAACTCGAGAGAGTGATAAGGGTCCAATATATAGTGTGCAATCAGGCTGATTAAGGTTTCTATGCCAGGACAGTAACATAAAATGTCTGTTAACATCCAAAATTTGCACGCTCTAGAAGTTCCCTTTGCAGAAGAACTAACAGAACTGAAAAGATTTAGATGTATTTTAGTGTTTTTGGAGAAGTAGGAAAGGCTTCAGCCAGGGAAATAATTCTGATATGGGCTTGAGAAAAAAGACGAAGAATAGAAGTGTACAGAAGTAATTGCACGAACAACATAACTTGACAGTGTTTTAGGTCTTTTAGCTTGCATCTTCCCTTGAGCAAGCATGGAAACAAAAGAAGGCAAGGAGCAAACTAATGTAAGCCAACCCTTTCTCTTAGCAAATGCTTGATTCAACTCTCACTAAACCTTCCTGCTCCCTACAATGCATAGACAGAAACCATCCATGTCATTTGTAGCTATTTTTTAAATGAGAAAACTTAATGAAAATGACAAACACTTAAAAGCACATCAGTCATGTGACTACCAACAACATTGGAATTAGAAAAGAAAAAGAAAAAAAAAAAAAGAACACTTAACAAGAGTAATGTATAGGCCTCGCAGAATTATACATGTTTTTAGAGTAAGGCCATTGGTAGGACAGGTTCAATAAATTGGGTATTCATTATACAAAATTTTGTAGGCTGCAAATTACATCCTTGACTCTTTTCCTTTCATTGAGACGACATACACATTTCCCCTTGTTCTTCCACATCTCCTGATGAGGCAAAATTGTATACTTGTTCACATAATTCTTAGCCTTTCTTGCCTAAGCTGAATTTGTCTCACTCCCAAGAATCCTCTTCTTTTGGGATCTGCTCTTAATAATATTATGCGGATTATTTCCATGATTACTTGCTCCACAGACAATGGTGAACTCAAAACCGTAAGCATTTCCAAAACAAGAAAACAAGCCTCCATCTGAATGTCTTCGCCCATGTCCTCTGCCATCTGACCTAGATCTCTCAAATTTCCCTTCATGCTTTGGTGGAAGTGAAACCTCCTTCCTCAATTTCCCCATACCTGAATTCAACCCCTTTGCAGTAGCTTCCTCAACTGTCATTTCTTCCACTATGGAGTTCCCAATCTCTTTTCCTTCGGCTGATTCTACTTTTGCAGCCTGTCGCATTGGCCCCTTTCTTTCTGCCATGGGTGGAAGTGATTTCCTTGCTATTTCTGCAGCCACAATTGATGCTGATGGTCCAACATCAGAACATAATTCTGATCCATTTCCTGTCGAACCATTGAGCAACGATCCATTTCCATACACCAGAGAACCATTGCATATGGAGCCTGCTTTTAATGGAAACTCTTCATTAAACTCGCTCCCCAAGCTATATGATCGCCATAGATGGATTTTCTCATTCATTTGATCATTATTCTCCTCAGTAACAATCTCCCCATCTTTTTGTTGCGCGCTCATACTATTCAGTTTCTTGACTAAAGCGTCTTGATAATCCCTGACTGAAGGATTCATTTCTCTACGTAGAGGCATGCTTCTGTTTGCAGCATCCATTAGAGCTACGCCCATATTCAGCATTCCCTGAGGATTCCCTGAAGGCCGACGAATCTGAAGAGCAAGGTATCTTGTATGATTCCTGGCACAAGGGGTAATGAGATCGCTTATGAGTACGCGAACCGTGCCTACAAGCAAATCTCTAAACCACGAAACCGTGTAGATTTCAACCGTGATTGCAGCCTGATCAGATGAGAGGAATTCTGAATCTACGCGAAATGCAAACCTCTCATTCCATAAAGGATTTGTATGCCTTTGTTGATCGACGGAGGTTGTGAGCTTTCGGGAAGGATGAATCCAGGTTATTGCATATGTTCGCATTGATTTGGAGATGGGGGCCAAGTCTTGGGCGGATATCAAACTGATGTTTAGGACATAGAAATCAGGAGGTTGTAAGCTGATGTCTGAGTCGGTGATGGTGGATGAGGTGGTCGGAGTAGGAATTGTTGGGTCCATTTCACCATCCACCTCCCTGAACACGACGGGCCAGGTTTGACATTCACGCAGGAAGAGAGACTGTCGAGGTGGTGGTGTTGTATTGAAGATGCATGGTCGAGAGCTGTTAGAGAAGTTGGTTTTAGTTGATGCTTCTGGTCCACTATTTTCTTTAACTTTTGTTATGGTCTGAAAAGTTTCCTGCTAATTCCATAAATTTCCCCTGAGATTTTTGATAATTTCACTTAGCACCTTTAACATTTTAAAATTTCACTTATCACTCCTATTTTCAAATTTTTATAACATTGACAACCCAATTCAAATTATATGATTAAAATACTCATTTTAGAATAAAAATAATTTCTTTCCAATAATGCCTTTCATTGCCTTAATTTTTTAAATTGTAAGTATGGTAATCATATGTTAAAAATAAGGACAAAAAAGTATGACGATGTTCTTTTTTTAAAAGAAGAACATATAATAATTGCAACCATAAACAATATACTATTTTAAAGTACAAATAAATAATAAATTTTTGTTTAACATGTTTTCAAATTATAAAGTAATTTTTTTCTTTTAATGTTTGTCTATTTGGTACTCTAAGGTCACATAGTAAGACATAAACCCGATATTGTTGTTTTTTTTTTATTTTTTGACAAAAATGTAGATTTCTGCTACAAAAGTGTTGCAATTTAGGAGGCTATTTATAATTTAAAAACTTCAGTGTTTGTCCAACCTTTATTTATTCATATGTTTATCACATGCCCTTAAATTATCAAATGAGAAAATTCTTTCTTTTTATGTAAAATATTTTGATTGAATCTAATGAATTTTATGAACTGTTGAGAATCTTTAATTTTTATTTATTTGAATATATGGCTTGAAAATTTAGGAAAGGGGAAAAATTTTAAATTACATTTAGAATTTATTTGAGTTGTTTAGAAGATAAAAAAAAGGTTATTTTTCACATCTTTACAATATTTTAAATAGTAAGGTATAAGTGTCTAAAAATTTTTATAATTCACGGTATGTGACAATGTGAGTTGTAATTCATGGTCTGTGACATCAGAGAGAGGGTTCTACTTCAATCCAACAGATGACATCCTATTTCTGGAAAACCAGTAGCCGATTTTCGCTCTAGCAAATAGAAGTGATTCACTAGTTTCATCTCTGCCCCTGGCTCGTCGTCCTCTAAGCAGGGAGAGACGAGCTAATTCATCTGCCATTTCTGCCAAACCGTTTTGCTCTTCCAAAAATGTCTCTTGATTATGTTCCTTTCAAGCTCCTGGAGATCAATATCCTATCCGCCCAAGACCTTCCTGCAGTTTCCAAAATGTTGCGCACATTTGCTGTTGCCTGGATTGGCCCTGATCAAAAATTAAGCACAAGAATCGATCATCAAGGCCACACCAACCCCACCTGGAACTACAAGTTGGTTTTTCGGGTTGACAAGAAATTTCTTCGGAATGAATCATCGGCAATAACAATAGAAATCTATAATGTTGCATGGCTGCGTGACCTTCCGATTGGAACAACACATCTTTTCATCAACCACATTTCACCTCCTCTGATGCCAAATAGTCCAACTATGCGATCTGTTGCTCTTCATATTCGTCGCCCGTCAGGGCATCTTCAGGGAATTCTTCACGTTGGAGTCAACCTGATAGACAATGGGATTTCAGACAGCCCCCTGAGGAGCGAAATCAGCGCGTTCGCTTATGAAAATCAGGTCATGGTACGGAATGATCATCAGAACGTCCAAGAAGAAAGTGTCATAGAAAATGCTCAAGAAAATATTGAGCACAAGGATTTTCAAATCCAAGATCAACCCTCCGTCAGCCAAAAAGCATTGTCTAATGATGATGTAGTCTCGAGCAATGAAGGTAGCAATGATTTGAAGAATCAAATGCAATTGAAGTTGAGGACGAGAAGCATGGCCTCAACAAATTTATCATTGGGTACTGTCATGCATCCTTTGCCATCAGAGGTTGCAGATAACCTGAAGAAGGGATTTTATACCACGGATGCGGATGATTATGGCAGCTCCATATTTGAGAATTGGAGCGAGCCAAGTCATCGTCTTAGTTTGAGATCAAAAAATGTGGAATGGCCATCGGAGGAACAAATTCCACTGAAAAAAGATCATGAAGGCCACAAATTAAAAAAGCACCACAAGGGCCACAAAACAGACGATCAAGAGGGCCATAAAGCTGTTCGACCAAAACGAAGGCGGCCCTCGGATGGAGGAGGATTATTCTCGTGCTTTCTGAAAGGTTTTGAATTTACTTTTGTCTGCGGGTCTAAGAATATGACGAAAGAAAGAGAGAAGATTCGTCGTCACCATAAACTTCACGTTGACCATGCGGAAGAAAACATGCACAGGTTCTACATATGAATTCTTGACTGTACAGGTTCATGCACAGCCACCGATCAGCTACTTATGCATCGTTATTCAATGGCAAGATTGTTTATCAAGTTTTACATTTCTTTGGTGTATTTTTTCCTTCCAATTTTCTATTTCTAATTCTCTTAGGTGATACACAAACTAGATATCACACGCGATTTCTGCATATTTCGTATACAGCATTAGTTCCTTTTATTCTTCCTCTGATTTCCTTTTCTGAACAATTGAGGATTGACTGCTGCAGATTTTGAGTAGTACTACACTTAGCTGCTCCACAAGCATCAGAGGTTATTATGTTGATAAAATTTTTGTTGTTACGAGTTCAATAATTATTTCTAGATGATATGTGATGTCATTTTATAATTTAAAGAAAAGGGCCTTCCGAAGTGAACAAATCATTGTTCTCTTGGATTTATTTCTGGACCAAGTGAACAAATCATGGAGCATGTATAGGAATTGTGCAGCAGGAAAATTAAAGCAAGATTAATGTATTAAGCTGCAGTGCTTTACCGCCAAACAAAATAATAGTTGTACAAGGTACTTCTTGAATTTTGACAATCAAGAGGTTGATCTCAGTCTTTGCCTTAGCCATGAACCAATTGAAGTCTGCCACCATCAAGAAATTATGATTCAGCTCAAATCTTGTTTTCGCCTTTCAATAGTCTGCTGCGTCAAAAAGCATTTGTAATTAGCAATTGGTGAGGAACTACATACAAAGGCTGCCAATTTGATGTATATTGCTGGAAAATTGAAATGGAAGGCAAATTTGGAGACATTAGCCCTCTGAGATAATCTACAGAGTTGTACTTACCGTCCTTTTTTCGCCCCCATGATCCGCAGAAATAGCAGAGGCCCGCTCCTGTCAACACCACAGCTATTCCGCCAATAACAATTGCTATTAATTTATTTGAACTGCGTCCAAATGATCCCTTATCTGACCAAAAGTTGGATTTGACAGAAAATTAGTTAGTGCAAGAATCATAGCAAGTCAGGAAGAGATTTGCATCATTGACATATGAAAAACCAGCATAATCATATGTCAAATTGAGCATTAACTGCTTTCAAAGTTCTGTACCCTTTTTTTACTGTTAATCTGGAAGCATAAAGTTGAAGGGCTAGCGAATTTTCACCGCACATGAGGATCCAATTTAGTGAAAGTTTTCAGACATTATTCTTCTCGCAATCATTCAGCTTTAGCAGGGCTACTTGTTTGACTACTATTGGCTACTTGTCTGAACATTTATTCGCGCATGAAACAGAAAGATTGTAAGTACATCTAGCGCATTGAAATCTGCAATCTGAAACACTATTCTAATATCTAGAAGATTGAATATTTGGACGACAGTTAAAAGTTTTCACATAGAAGAATTAACCTGTATGAGAAGTCACATCATGTAAATTGCTTTAAGATAGTGCATAAAGCAAGCGGGAATTATACCAGCAAATAAAGAAGAAATTTATGAAGAGAAAGTCTTTGAAGAAGTTGTGAGCTATGTACGACAGCCACTTACCTTCGTTCCAGTCACCATTAAACTCATTCCCTTGATATTTGTAGCTAACAAAACAACCGTCCAGATAAATTTCTCCAGAAACTGAGTACCCGCACGTTTCCTGAGCAATCTCCACTGCGGTGTTAACACATTCACCACAATCACACGCACCTAGATTCCCATCGCACTGTGCCATTACATGTATTGATTCACAGGTCTCTTCACAAAATCCCTGACCGCTCATAATACACTCTTGGACAGCTGCAAATGCAGCATCCCTCCTCTCAGGGAATCCAATAGACCCTGTTTGGCCACTGCAGGACTTATGGAGCAACTGCAGTCCCGAAGTTTGAACTCCATCAGCCCGATAGTGTATACTACAACCAGATAGCTGAACTCGGGCAGGTAAACTCTGACTGCACAATTTGTTTGATACTTCAGGAAGTTTGTTGACGCAGCTGTAACAATCTTTGTTACTCAAATCACCTCTGCACTGAAAGAGGCCTGATACAGCCACCTTATCGTTACCGGCATTGGTTTCAAAGAACTTGGATTTTGTGGAATGCTCCAAAAGTTCTTGAAAAAGAGCTGGCAGAATGGACGACAGAGATACAGTGGTATGATCCTCTGATGTCTGGTTTGCGCAGTGATTGTAGACTAATTGCTTATAGTCTAAATTGGATGTGTATACAGATTGTAAGATCATGCAATAACATAGTACAAATGTTGGTAGAAAAAAGTGAAGATGATTGAGGGTCTTAGATGGATCCATGAGTGCTGATTCTGGTTCAGCAAGAATTCAGCACATTCTTGGTAACCCTATCTTTATCGCTGCCTTGACAAACATAACTTGTTTATTTTTACGTACAGAAGGGAATGTTTTGTTCTGGACTTCTGTTTGAGACATGTCAATTTTTTTCCTTCCTAACTTCATCTAACCTTTTGTTTGGGGGTTTGAGAGTGATACGGATTGGTCCCACGCTTCAGAAAGAGATCGAAATGGACATCTTCAGCCTCGCAAGTGCTCGTATGCTATTCAAGATCTCAACAGCCAGCTGCTAAAAGTACTTAGCCAAATCCTAACGTCTTAAAATCGTGTTAATAATTTATGTTTAACGAGCTCTGTTGCGTGAGGTTAACGTAGATTGGAAGCTCCAAAGCCTCTTTACAAAGTTAACCGTTTTGATCTATTTGCTAGTATTTGTTGTGGTTAGGTTTGACAATGAAGTTAATTAACCACAACTTAGGCAAGACTTGCAGGGCAGACCTTTCCAATAATTTTAGAACTTAAAAGGAAGACTATCTGCATTTGGAAACTTTATGTTCGGCCTCTTTCCTAGCGCTGGTTTTACCTTAAAGTTCCACCTTTTTAAGTTTCAATGAATAGGGCTTGCAAAACCCCAATAACACTGAATTGATCAAAAGTGATGAATCTTATCGATTAATGAACTTATGTTGCAAATATACAAATACATCATGTACATACATTCTTGATCTCGTGCAAAACCCCAATAACACTTAATTGATCAAAAATGATGAATCTTATCAATTAATGAACTTATGTTGCAAACATACAAATACATCATGTACGTACATACATTCTTGATCTCATAAATATACAAGAGTTGAAAGGTTCCTTTTTAATGGCTTATTATGAAAAAAAGTTATTATATTGCTAATTGGAATCGAATTCATCATAATTTTTTGCTATTCAATGATAAAAAAAAGTTACTGTATTGGTCCCTTTCTCAGCTAGTCCTAAGTTTTCATGAGACCTGCCGCTTGTTACAAACTTTACAAACCGTATTCATTGAAACTTAAAAAGTTTCAATGAAGCTACTCCAATTGAATAATCAAGAAGATGAAGCTACTCCAATTGATCAAGTAGAAACGCATCTCCTGAAATTGTATGCCCATTCAAAATAAAACTACACATCCTGAATGCTCGCTTTATAAAGCCCATTTGTCGGAGAAGTCCGTAGTCCATTAAGCCTAGAAAATCTAACATGAAAGTATAAATGGTAAAATACAACAACCTCACGTGATTTCGTGAAAAGACACTTTACATCTCTATTATTTAGAAACCTCCACATAAGCATCCTGAACTTCATAACTAAAGTGAAAATGACCTTCTGAATCGGCTGAGTTACCGACTGCACGTCGAATATTGAAAATACCCTCATTTATAATATAGAGGGGGAGAGAGTCAAGAATTGAATAGCTCCCATTCATTCTTTGTAACGAGAGAAAAATCCTAGAAAAGTGAAATGTGAAATCACATTTTACATCGTTGCTGAAATATCGTGAATCTTAATTTGAAGACAGCGTGGCTGCATCTGGTCACGAAGAAGGGAAGGTTGGATTATGGTTGTATCTGATCGTGAAGCTTGTTCAGCATTTTTAGGTAAAAATCAGAACCTAATCTTCGATATTCAATCCATTTGATGTTTAGGATTTGTATTTTTTTCCAATTTGTTTATTCTTCTTTCACTACATACTAGGGCTTAAATATGTGGTTTCTGCCATTTTTATAGTAGGTGGTTTATCGGGGAAAATGGAGTTTTAAAATGTAAACTTCTTAACTTTTTTTAGCTTTTTTGGAGTATGTGGTTGATATCAGGAGGAAATAACATGTGTCGGGTTTGATTTGACTACTATATTAGATTTCACTATATAATTTGAAAGTATTGATTAAATAATATGTGTCGAGTCTGACTAATTGTTGTTAATTTGAAACTCAAGGTCTTCCCGAAGGAACCTCGTGCACCCATCGCCACTAGGTCGCTTACCTGGTTCCAAGTCAATTTCCACTTTAGTTATGAAGTTTAAGGTGTTTATGTAGAAGTTTTTAAACGATAGGGGGGTATGGTGTCTTTTCACGAAATCACAGAGGTTTCCTTGTACTTTACCCAAATATAAACCGTTCTGGGATGGTGGGATCCACAAATGATAAAAGTGCAGGCCCTCGCTCCAAAATCTGAATACATGCCTAAACCGATGTTGGAACCGACTACCGCCCAAATTGTATAGCACAAAGTCAAATTTTGTTTTCCTGAGTTTTTTTTTTTAAAAGGTACGTGCATCATAATTTGCTCCCATATCCTTCTTCTCTTTGGATCATTAGGAATTTCTCTTGAATTTGATCTGAAAGACCACTTTTGATATTTAAGATTATATGTCTCTAGATAAAATTTTATGTACCATTCAATCCTAATAGATTAATAATAAGCATTGCGAGGATAATAATCTACTTTCCTTGTTATATTTTGCTTTGCCAATTTAAAAAAAATTACTCAATAGTCAATATTCATAGATCATGTAGTCAAATTTGAATGAGATCATCATCTATAACAAATGGCATACTCATAGGTGCATGGCATCCTATATTTACTCATCAAGTTAGATATTTTTTAACTTATTGCCATAATTATTAAATTCGATTCGACGAGAAACTCGACAAAATGATCAGATGAATGAGTTATATATTGGTTCAACCGATAAGCCACGACTAAATAAGTGGATCATTAAAATAATATTTTAAATACAAAAGAGTAATTTTTGTATTCTCCTGTGATTTCACTGGAAATCAACAAGTCGTCCTATGGTTTTGAAGTATTCACATAATTCCTTTATGATTCAATTAAAGTGAAATAGGACTTTTTGACCTGTTGTAATATTAGAAACCCATTTTTTGTTAATTTTTTCCTTTTTTAGTTTTTTTTCATTTCCTTTCTTTCTATTTCCTTTTCCTTTTCTTCTCATTCTTCTTCCTCCATTATCACACAACTCCCGCTACTATAATACCACCACCTCCTTCCCCTTCCTCCAACAACCACTGTCTATCAGCCTTTGTCATTGTGAGGACTCGAAATTTTTTTTAGAATTTTCTCTCATTTTTTAAAAATTAATTTATATTTCCTTCTATATTTCTTTACTTTGACTATTTAACTATTTACTAACCCTAAATTTCATGGTGATTTCATTAGTTGAGTCAAGAGTTTTACTTTTACTTTTAAAGTTAGAGTAAGTTAGGGTTTTGGTGCATTTTGGTAGTGTGATCGATTGGTGAGGTGTGTACACTAAATTTGGTGGATAAGAGTGAGTATTAGGTAAGAGGAAGTGTGTGATTAGAAATGCTAATAATAAGTTAATGAATCATAAATTAAAACAAAAGTACAAGGGAGTTAAGGGAAATAGGCTTGAACCGACGTGCGCTGTTTGTTACCGGTTGAGTGCACCGCTTAACCAATACTTTCTTACCCTAATCTCCTTTTTTTTTATTTCATTTAATTTCCCCTAAATTAACCCTTAAGTCAGCCACCATTATTGACTAAGGAAAAGGAAAAGAAAGACAAAATAGTTTGGTGACACTTGTCAACCATTAAACCAAAAGTTGACCAAGATTAGTCTTTGTATTTATCTTGAAAAAATTGAAGAAAAACCATCATTTTCTTGCTCCATGAAGGCCGAACCTTAGAGAGGAAAGGAAGAGAGAAAAACTTCCAAATTCCATCTTGATTTCCTTGATTGATTTGTCAAAAATTCAAACACTAACCCTAATCCATGCCGATTAATCTTGAGTTAAGTTTGGAGGGAAGCTTTTGGTGGAATTACTTGGGGAAGAAATCTATTGAGTTGCTTGTTATCTTGGGATTTTGAGGTAAAATTTCGAGAAGACATCTCTTTTTACTTGTTTTTTGAGATTTATACAAGATATGTTATGATTAAAGTTGAAGAAAGCATGTTTATGGTAATTTCATGATTTTGTTAGGGTTTGGTGAAGTTGTTGCTAGGGTTTGGTTAATTTCCAGTTTAGGTATATGTTGGTTATAGCTAGTTTTGTGGTTAAAATAAGTACTCTATGTATCCTATATCTTGTGAACTTAATTGGGTCTGTCTTGTGGTGAAAGTGTAGCCTTGAAATGGTTGGAAAAATTGGTAAACACAAAAGAAGTGCTGCTGAAATTTTTCCCGCAAGAGACTCTGAACAGTCTTGGAAAATCTGTCATATCTTGGTATAGAAAAATTCAAATTGAGTTCTACTTGTTGTGTTTGAAATTAGATTTAGAGTACTTTCTACCATGAAAATTTCAGAATTTTTATCAATTCTTATGAATATCTGTAATTTTTCAAAATTGATTGAATTTTCATTCTTGTTCTGTCTTTCTACTGGATAAAGCAGCCACTTGAGATTAAATTTTGACTGACTTGTGGACAGAATCTTGCAAAGGTGTCTTCTAAGAAATTGTAAATCTTTGAATATATTTTCCAACGTATAAAGTTTATAAATTTTGGACTTAAGAATCTTTAGATATGATTTTTCAAATAGCACCGTGCAAAACTAGAAAAATTCTGTTTTCTTAAAACTGTCCTTACTTTCATTTCCAACTTTAAATTGGAGTTGTTAAACCATTTTGAGTTTGGTTGATGATTAGAATAAGAAAATTTTTGGTTACTCATGTCTCTTGGGTAAATGTTCGTTTTTCACTCTAAAACCATATTTGCACATTTGTACTAGTAGTTATTCGGATTTTCTTTGGTTCACTTAAATTTTGGATGGTTGAACCATAATATTTTCTCTTGATTATTCTTAGGGTTTGTCGGTGATCAAGGGCATAATCTGGAAGGAAACTTTTGACGTTATTTTGCTTAAACTGGTGAGTATTCTTTGCATATTGTGCTTCCAATGACTATGTGAATTATTGTGAATGTTTGCTTGAATGTTAAATATTTTTCAATGATTGTTAAATGAATTTTCGATAGGCGAGTGTG